TATGTAATCCCATTACTCAGGAGGCTGAGGCAGGAGGGAGGATTGTGAGATGAGCTCAGTAGCTAGAGCCCTAGTACATGAGTTCAAGGACAAATCGAACTACATTGTGAGTCTCTGTCTTTAAAAAACCCAAACATATTATGTACAATGTGTGAGAGCCTGAGTGTTTATTTTGTGTTTGTTTATAACACATTTTATTGTTTTCAACAGGCAGCTGGCCCAACAGGCAAAAATGAGGAAAAAATTCAGGTTCTCACAGACAAAATTGATGTGCTCCTACAGCAGGTAAGACTTGTTGACATTAAAATCAGAAAATACTGAGTCAGTTAATAAGGCAAGGTTAGCAAATACACATAAAGAATACATTGAGTGAATAAAAATTAAGAAAGTATACATTCAACCTTACTTGTCATTTAGGAAAATAGAAATCAAAGTCACAATGAGATGCTTATTTAACACCCATTTGAAGGCCCAAATTTTAAAAAATATGCCACTTTTTTTTTAATTTATTTAAATGTATTTGGTACAAGGTCTCATTATGCACATTAGACTCATAGTGATCCTCCTGTTTTCAGCCTTCCTGTGCTGGTAGTGTGCGCTTCTATGCCTGGTCTCAGGGTCTCAGCACCCCCAAGGCTGGGAGCTGCGTGTGTGGTGCTGGAGATTGAACCCCGGTCCTGTGCTTGCCTGAGCAGGTGTTTAGTCCGTTGAGCTATTTTGCTGGCCCTTTTGCCAAGTATTGACAAGGATTTGGACCAGCTAAAAATATCTGGCACTGCTAGTGATGGTATGAGTAGTGCAGACATTTTGGAAAAGAGTTTGTCTTAAAAAGTTAAAAATGTACCAGAAGCCATTATTCTCCTAAGTATTTACACAAGAGATGTGAAGACATATATCTATACACAGTGACTTGGGTACCAATGCTTTTAGGATATTTGTTCAAAATGAGCCAAAGAAATGCTTAAAACTATTGGCAGTTCAAATATCCATCAGTGCATGAATAGTAATTAACTTGATGGAGGCCTAGAATGGAATACTATTTGGTAATAGGAAAGAACTGTGTGCAGTAGTGTAAATGAATTTTAAAATTTAGGCTGAGTAAAAGAGATCAGACCCAAAAGGGATACAAACAATATTCTGTTTACTTTGTGGTTTTGAGACAGGCTCTGTGTAACTCAGTCTGGCCTTGAACTCGCTGTTTAGCCCATACCTCAGATTCAAACTTTTTCTCAGCCTCCGAGTTTTGAGGTTACAGGCGTGCACCATCATGCCTGGCTTATGTTCCTCCATTTCTATAAAATTTAAAAAATCAAAAACTAATGTATAGTGATAGGCAGACCACATTGTCTTTGCATGTGTATAGGTAGAGGCTGGAGGAAGTACTAAAATGAGTAGGAAGAAATCTTTTGGAGTAGTAGGTAGGTTCGTTGTCTAGATGGAGGTGATTATTTCACGGGTGTGTGCATATGTGTGCATAGTTACCGAGTTGTGTGTCTTAAAATTTTTCATTTTGTTGCATGTCATTAAAACTTGTTTAAAAAAAATTAGAAGGGTAAATTAAACCCAGAGAGGCTTCAGGAAACAAACCCAGTCAAAAAGACAAAACACTAAATGTCAACCAAGCATAAAGTATGGGGAGAAAAGACAAGACTCAGTGTGGAATTTTGACTTTTTTTCTGTTCTTCTTAGATTGAAGAATTGGGATCTGAAGGAAAGGTAGAAGAAGCCCAGGGAATGATGAAATTAGTTGAACAACTAAAAGAAGAGAGAGAATTGCTTAGATCTACAACTTCAGTAAGTACCAACTTCTCAATACTCAGTTTGTTCCTTATGATTTACTTGTTACTCCTATTTGAGAACTTAAGAAACATTCTTTTTTTTTTTTTTTTCTTTTTTGGTGGAACCGAGGATTGAACTCATGACTTTGCACTTGGCAGGGAAGCATTATTCTACTGAGCCATCTCCCTGGCCCCTAGAAACATTTTTCTTTTCTTTTTTTTGGGGGTGGGGTGGGGTGGGGACCGGGCATTGAACTCAGACCCTTACACGTGCCAGGGAAGTGCTCCCCCCACCACCACCAGGGATTGAATTTAGGATCCTGTGCTTACCAGGCAAGCACTTACTCTACTGAGCTATCGCCCCAGCCCCCAGAAACATTTTTCTAATATGCCAAATTAAAAAATCATCAAACAAGACTGGGCTTGGTGGCACATGCCTATAATTGCGTGCTTGGGAGGCTGAAAACAGGAGGATCGCTGTAAGTCTGATGTAGACCCTGTACTAAATACAAAAAAAAAAAAATTTCCTTTTCCTCTGAACTCAGAGCAGACCTTTTAGAGACGAATGCCCAATCTGCAACCCTAAAACCCACTTGTGTATCACAGAGTACCAACACTGCAATTTAGCCTGAATATGAGATTTTAGTTTAGAAAAATACAATTATCTAATGCTTGGCTGCTGGAGTGATCTGGCTCATGTGCTGACAGTGGGCTCTGCTTGCCCATTAGGGCTGCATGCCATAGGTTCACCACCACTGACCCTGGGCCCGCACACCGAGCTGCATCCCCAGTCCCATCTCTCTATTTTTGAAGCAAGGTTTCACTACATTGCTTGGCCTGTACTATAACTTAGATTCCATGCCTAAGAGCCACATAATGTTTTAGGTTTGCAAGGCACAGGTCACTGGCAGCTACCAAGCTTTCTTGTCTTGTATCATGAAAAGAGCCCTAGACACCTGAAGATAGAGAAAGGAAAGCTCAAACTCAGTTTATCCTGCTGTGTACTCAGCGCAGATCATTTCTTTGTCTTCCTCACCCCTCCCCAACCTAGGGCCTCACACATGCCAGGCAAGCGTACTACCACTGAGCTACATCCCCAGTGCACAGGTAATTTCTTTTTATTCCAGAATGTGTGGGGATTTCACACCCAGCAAGAAAGTAATCGACTATTCAGTAGTGGTCACCATCTATTGGTCTTCCTTTTTTTTTTTTTTTTTTGGCGGAACCAGGGATTGAACTCAGGCCCTTGTGCTTGCCAGAGAAGCGCTTATTCCACTGAGCCATCTCCCCGGCCCCATCTGTTGGTCTTCTAATAAAACATAGTTCAATTCTGACACTGCCACAGTCCTCTGCTCCCCTCCCTTCATATGCCACTCATGCCCCAGGTAGTTTCATCTGAATTACAGAGCAACTGGTTTCCATTGATCCTTACCTTGGGTTCAGTTAATTGGCTTTTTTAGCTCACAGAACAGAAACATTTTATGTTTATCAGCTTATTATTTTTTTTAATCAGCTTGTTATCAAGGATACTACTGAGGATGGAGATGAAGAGACACATGAGTCCGTTGTGGGGAAGGAGTGAAGGAGGCTGTAGGCACTCAAGTGCACCACCTTCCAAGGACCTCCATGCATTCAGTTGTCTGGGAGCTCCCCAGCTCTTTTTATTTTAGGGTTTTTATAGATACTTTATTGTGTGAAAATGTTTAAAATGTGGACAAGTTGAGTGTGACGGTACATGCCTGTGATCTGAGCACTTTGGGAAGCTGAGGCAGGACAATTTCAAGTTCACATTCTTCCTGGGCAACTTAACAAGACCTTATCTTAAAAAAAAAAAAAAAAATCCCCTATTAAGTTTTATTTGTAAAACAGTGGTCTTTCACAGTAAAAGTAGAGAGCAATGAACAAGTAGTGGGTGGAGAGTGCGGGCCGTGGGCATCCTGGAGCTCGTGCTCCCCAGCAGGACATCCTGAGGTGTCCCAGCACCTACGGTGGGACATGCTCCTCTTCTCTTACAGGTTTCAGGCAGCTCAGATGGGAGACTGAGTGGGATGACTGGTCCTAATTTTTGCTTTCAAAGCATTTTTCTTGATCTTGCACTCTGGTTCCATAAATTCCAGATTGTTCAGTGGATTTATAATAAACTTCTAAGATGGGTCAGGAAGATGGCTTAGTAGAGTAAGTGCCTGCCAAGCACAAGGGCCTGAATTCAATCCCTGGTTCCACAAAAAAAAAAAACCCAAAAAACTTCTAAGATGAGAGGAAATCTCTATTCATTGCGTGAAGTCTGGAGCATACAACTTCAAAATCTTGTTTTGTTTTGTGTTTTTAGTGAAACCGGGGATTGAACTCAGGCCCTTGCCCTTGCCAGGGAAGTGCTTATTCCACTGAGCCATCTTGCTGGCCCCCAAAATCTTTTTTTGAAGGGACTAAAATGTAGCTCAGTGGTAGAATGTTGCTGAACTTCATCCCCAGTAATCACACCCAGAAAACAAAGGGAACACGAACAATATGACTGGACAGAAAATATGATTTAAGGCGAGAATATAGAATATAGGGGCTAGGGAGATGGCTCAGTGGAATAAGCACTTCCCTGACAAGCGCAAGAATCTGAGTTCAATCCCGGGTTC